TTACCCCAAGGTCAACTATAGCACGAACGAACGAACGAACGAACGAACGAACGAACGAACGAACGAACGAACGAACGAACGAACGAAATCCAGAGTTTCAATAAATTTGTTAAAAAAATATAAATAACATCCAACAACCATATTTATTAAATAATAATTGATACTTTATTCTCATGTATTACGAAACAATAAGTACATTACCTATTTAGCACACGTTCTTTTAATTGAATTAGGCGACAGTATCCAATGGCGTACCGTAGTAATTGCAGAGACGTGTTGCATTCACTTCTATTGCGACAGGAGGCGTCGCGGCGGCGGCGGCGGCGGCAGCGAAGATAGTAAGAAACTACAACGCGATCGCGCGCGACAAGTGAAACAGCGGCTCAAGGTCGAGCGTTCGGGAGGGAGCTAGCAAGGTGTCGAAGGCGCTGGGACAATACGAGCTGCAAGCTGATGACGGCCAACACGCGACGAAGGTGAAGGTGGACAACGTGGAGAAGCCTCATGAATATGTAAAGCGGAGGACGCAGAGCAGCGGCAACAAGAAATTGAAGAGGCAAAAGAGAAGTCACAATACGACGATTGAAGCGGCGAGTAGAAGCCGCTGAAAAGAATTAGAGGAACCGGAAGACGAAGATGAAGAAAATGGCAATGATGATTAGAGAGGGCGGTTAGATGATTTGTCTCTGAAAACGAAAAGGGGTAACATTAAGAGGATAAACAAAGAGAATAAGGAAACGGACGATAAAGGTGAAAAAGTTTAATATATTAAGAAGTGAATGGTAAAGAGATCTTATAGTGTGAAAAAGGAAGAGTAGGAGAAAGAAGCAGGGTTGGTATTTCGTATGGTTTGCACGGTTTATTCGCGCAGACGTCTGGCCCGGCACTCGCCGCTTCACGCGAAAATGTTGGCGGAAATGAGCGTATCCTGAAAACGGCGCAGCGGGGCGAGAGGGCAATCAATGGGGCGGGGCGGGGTTGCGACCCCCCCCCACACACACACACACACACTGAAGCTGCACCGGCTCCCGTCCACGTCCCGCGCAACCCGGCAATTCGTTTATAAAACGGATAAATGTTTGCGCGGTAAATATTCCTTGCGATATCACTTTCAATGCACGTCTCTGCTTTCAGACTTACCTCGCTGACTCCGGCACACTCCCGTTTGTGCTCCCTTTCTCCCTATCTAGCAACACCTTCAATGCTTTATACTTCGCTTCTCTTTCCCCCTCTCTGTGACTCATCTTCTCCGTGTCAGAACTTCTTACTCTCTTTTTGTTTTTCTTCTTTTTTTCCTGCTTCAAGCGCTCTTCACTATTTGCCACAACAATTTCTCAGCACTTTTCATCCTTACCTCTATTTTACGGAGCAGCCGATCAGATCGTTGTTCAGAATGCCTCTCAATCATGTTTACAGCGTAGGCGTATAATGTAATCAAAACATCAAATTGGTATTTCCCGCCTTCCCCTCAGACATTTAACAGCATTCTTCAAAAAATTACAAAATATATTTTACATCCTCACTACGAAATAAATAATTTAAAACCACTGTACTGCCTTGAATTTACTTTCACATTCGAGCAGAACAATTGTAATAATAATAATAATAATAATTATTATTATTATTATTATTATTATTATTATTATTATTATATTGGTTTCAAAATGTGATAACTTCTGATTAACATTTACTGAATCCGATTAAATACCATTACCTTCCAAGTTTTCCTTTAGCACACCATCTGCTTACTCACAGTCCATCACTCTCGCAATACCTTCTCTGTCAGCCGACCTCAAAAGATCATGATAATTAGACTTACATCGTGAAGTGGGAGAGAGCGAGGGGAAGAGAGAAACAGACATGAAATAACCCGGCAAACGGAATCCCTAAGCCGAAGAGGTGTCTGTGAATGACAGCGCAGCGCCGTGCCAGCATTGGTTTCCAACCGACGAGAAACGGAGCCGACGTCAGTACGCCACGACGATCATCTCAAACAGAATACACAATTCCATTTGCGTTAATGATACATCGCAGCGCCAAGTTATGCGCACATGTTGTTCTCGACTGCCCTCTCACACTATCGATACCATCGCTTGAGTCCACTCGTTGTGTGCTGGCGAAGGAATTTTGTTCCAAGAACTTGCCGATCCAGCAGAGATGAAAAGATGCGAGTGGATGCGCGTCCAAGCCATTACATTTCGCGAGTTCTTTCCTTTTATTCCCCCTCACCAGCCACCATCATCTTCTACATTGAAACGTGTATTTTTTATTGGCGGTATGTTCCAAACTCCAAGCCAAGCGAGCAAGTATCCTCTATTATCTCTTTCCTTCCTAAAAACCTTTCGGTCTTCTTGACTCTCTTTCTTTCTTCTCTCGCTCTCTTCCCCCCTCTCTCTCTCGCTCTCTCCCCCCTCTCTCTCTCTCCTCTCTCCCCCCTCTCTCTCTCTCGCTTCTCCCCCCTCTCTCTCTCTCTCGCTCTCTCCCCTCTCTCTCTCGCTCTCTCCCCCTCTCTCTCTCGCTCTCTCCCCCTCTCTCTCTCGCTCTCTCCCCCCCTCTCTCTCCCTCTCTCCCCCCTCTCTCTCTCGCTCTCTTCCCCCCTCTCTCACTCTCTCCCCCCTCTCTCTCACTCTCTCCCCCCTCTGCTTCGCTCTCTCCCCCTCGCTCTCTCTCCTCTCTCCTCGCTCCTCTCCCCTCTCTCTCTCGCTCTATCCCCTCTCTCTCTCGCTCTATCCCCTCTTCTCCCGCTCCCCCTCTCACGCCGTCTCTCTCGCCCGCGTTGCGACGGTTTTATTGGCGACCGGGAGCGCGGTTGTGAGTGTGCCCGCCATGCGCGCCGACGGACAGAACCAACAATCCAGAGCGCAGCGCGCGAGCGAAAGAAATGGGGGAAGTGCGAGTCTCGCGTTGCCCTCCATTATTCGAACGCAGCGAGCGGGGGGAGGGGGGGGGCAGGCGCCGTTCTTGTGTTTCGTTAGCGAACCACTAGCACGTATGTGTATGCCGATGGCGGGTGATTACCCTGCGCACACGATTTTCGTTGCTGTAAGAGCCCCAAATAAAAAACAAAAATGGGAAATTAATGATACATTACATACTTAAACTGGGTTTCAACAAGACAAACTGCATTCAAGTTCAATTACGATCGAAAAATTATATGCACAGATATAAATAAAAATTAAAAACTATTTTTTTTAAAAACTTGGTAATTCAAAACTACAAACCCATAATCAGAGTAGTCAACGCGCTCTTTCAATTTTTGCATTACCAGTAGGCTTCAAAATAGTTACCTCGAAAGCCTCCATTTTAAAAAATTCTGTTTACATAATATAATAATAATAATAATAATAATAATAATAATAATAATAATAATTTCATACTTCTTACGAGAAGTATCAGGCAGAAGAAGAAACGAGCAACTTCTGCTCAAGACAGAATTGAAGGGGAAAAAACGCCTACCATATTGCCTGGGGTATTGAATTTTCAGAATTAGCTTATTCATTTTTGTTATTATTAGTGCTGCAATATTTATTCAATTGGAAAAATTAATGTGAAGTTAGCTTGCGCAGGAAACTTCGAGCAAAGCAAACAACGTCGCCCGTTGGGAGTCTCATCCGCAACGTTGCGCGGACGGGCGGACGCAACGGCGCGAAGCCGCCGCGGAGGGGGAGGGGGAGGCAGCCGCGGCTCGTGACGACCGCACGACGCCGACTCGGCTCCGAGTTAGGCCGAGGCCGCCGAAGCTCCTCCTCTCCCCCACACTGGGTCACCCCTTCGGTTCTGCGTCCGTGACGCGCCAGCCCGCCCGCCGCCCGCCCGCCGCCCGCCGCCGCCGGCTTCGGCATCCCGCGTGACCCACGCACAGCCGCTGGAGTGCTTTGCCAGAGGAAACGTAAATCAGTTCACTCTGAATCATGTAGTCCCGGGTTTTGGTAGGGCGGAGAGCAGGCCCTATGCCTTGAGCCTCGCCATTTAATAAAGACATTATTATATATATTATTATTATTATTATTAAATTATTATTTATTATTATTGAATAACGCTATTAGCTCACCACCGCGCGAAGCTCGGTCGTCTGTCAATTGTTTTATTAGGCAACCTGTTCGACGCTTATGCGTTACACGCGTTCGCATTGCAACAACCCCCACAATTGCCAAGCAACAGTAACATCCATTTACTTATTTACTTATTTATTTATGTCAAAAACGTGACGTGACGTATGTGACGTGCTACGGGGAGAAGTTAAATCGAAGTTACATTTAGTTAAATTTAGTTACTTACATTTAGTTAAACTGAATTTAATATTAGTTGAGACACCAGGAAGATGCAAGGGGAGAGTAAGAATGAAAATAAGAAGAGATAATAAGAAGAGTTTTTTTTTTACGTTAGCCTTTTGCCTGCGCTCTGCATTCTCTGAACGAATAAAGCTTTCTGTAAAATCTTATTTTTCGCTTATGGAAGGTCCAGTAAACATGGGGCCCACACAGCTAGTTTAATGCTATAAATAGGGAAAATGGTGAAACTGGAGAAGAGCTGCATCCTTTTTTTCGTGAAACTCTTTAGGTGTTTACATTTTGCTGTTTGTTAAACTTAATTTCAAAAATGAAAGTAAGTTACGCTTTTTCTGTTGTTTTTTTCTTTCTTTCACTTAATTAGCTTAATCTATGCTCTACTTCTAGCCAGATTTCTGTCAACGAAAATGCGTCAAGGCAGAAAGAGGCAGGTTTTTTTAAAAAATTTTTTACGAAATTTGGAATCTCGATACCAACTAGAATTTCTAAATATTTAGAAATTCTTGGGCACTTTTCGCCTTCCTTACACATTTGATATTAGGCTTGAGTGTCATTACATTGATATATTCAATTTTTTGAAACTAGAATTTTTCTTGATGGTTGATTATTGTTATGAAAATTGATGTTTTGAGATTACACAATGCATCGCGTAGCTTGGTTACGAACTAAGGACGTATATTTTATTGGACACTGTACACAATAATAATTTACGGCAATTTTCTACTTTTAAACGTCTACGTATCCAAACTCCAGCATTTTTCACCAGGGATTTGATCAGCGATTTCTGTAATACAATATAACGCAAACTTCAATTTTTTGCGAAGGACATGCGAAACCAATAAGAGATCATGCTAATTCAATATTTGTATTTTAAACTTCTCAAAAATTATTTCAATTATTGTTTGTTTTTCATCCTATCATATCATTAGAATCGCCAATACGTTTTAATACGTTAATGGCAAGAGTTCTGACACTGTTTATTACGGGTGGCTATGGTACGGTATTGTATTTCGTTATTAGAGGGAATATATTTCGTAAGAGAACAAAACTGTGATAATCTAAAGATAATGAGCATCCATAATGAACGCAATTCAACAATAATCTTTATTTATCCAATTCTAAAAATCGATAATACGTTTTACAGCGTTTCCACTGCTCTCCCAGTAGCCAAATGATACAGAACGCACTGATAAGCTCATTTAACATTGACGAAATTAATCAGCTCATGAAGGATACTTCACGAACTGTTTGACGTACATTAGATCACAAAAATTTGGGAAAATCTTTCTTTTTTTAAGAATCTTCAAACATTATTTTCTTACATCACTCAACACGAGAAAATTTAGAATTACCATAATAATAGCTTTTTCATTATTTTCTTAAAATCTTCACTTCGTCGGTGAATAGACAGATTCTGTAACTCTCCTCTACAGAGTGATGTGTTACTCTTCAAGAGGAATCACTAACTCAAATCAAATAATAAACAATTATCATGGGTAGCAGAGGCAACATTGATTGTTACTAAAGTTGCCTTAACTTCGAAAAAAAAAAAACACATTGTGACCAATTTTCTGATAACACACAAAACTACTCTGTATCCCTAACACAATTTCAAGGCAGAAAATACCAAACCACCAACAACGCGTGAATCGTGAACAAACGTTCGACTAACTGGGTCATTCCAACATCACTTTCTCACACAAATACGCACAGTTGGTTTCTCGCCGATCTAGCAGAAACGATCACTCAGAATAACTAGAAGCAGAATCCCAGAACCCTGCCCCGCCGCCGGCAGAACGGGGCGAGCGCGATGCCACTTCAACAATAGCCAGTCGATGAGGTTCCAATTGTAGCCGCGGCGCGCGCTAGCGTACCTCCGCGGCGTCGACAATCGCGAAGCGCAGCAAGGACGACGAGTGTCCGTGGCGGCGTGGGACGGGCGCGCTACCTATAAGCGATTTCGTGTTAGCGGAAGTATCGCCGATTCACAAAAGATAAAGCGCCCCGCTGAAGCCCAGAGCTTTCCGCTTTGTTGAGACAACCCCCGCTGAGCTAATGAACCGACAGCAAATCACAAAGCTCCGGGCAATTAGTAGGAGTCTTTGGCCGTACGCTTCGCGTCTGTTTCAAGCAGACAACAATCAGGTCGCTCCTAACGTACTGCTACTGGCGTTCACAAACGCCTTTTCATACGAGGCCCTTATCGTGTCGGGGGGCGGGCAGCTCGTGTCGAGCACAGGTGATCATGCTGTGACCGCGCACAATTGCGGCGAAATAAAACTCGTCACGAGATGGCTGAACGAGCGGCACGTCGCTGGGGGGCGGAGCTAGCATCGCGGAGAACACATTATCAAATTTGTTTACTCTGAGAGCGCACATGTAACTTACGCCGCGTTGATTTTATGCCAAGCTACTACTGAGTGTATCAGCCGACAACACAAGAATGCAGACGCTCATAAACTGATAGTGTTCGTCGTCAGAGTTGTAGTAGAAGTCATGAAAGTGAAACTCCAGCAAGAGGAAGTTTCATTTCTGTGATGAAGCAATGGGAGACCGCAAGTACACACATTGCAGTAATGAGGCTGCTCCAGATGGATATTTTACCAGCTTCCGAAATGCTTCAAATGCCTGGAGGTTTCGGGTTTACTTCCTATCATTGGAATAACTGAAATACTAGCTAACATATTTTCAATTATTGTAAGAGCACGTTGTTCCTAAATTCTAAGAGTAAGTTTATTAAATTGCATCGAATAAGACAGGTTGAAAATGTACATGTAAAACATAAAAATCGTTTCAATCATTGATAAAGCTGTTAACTGCGAAAGGCTCCTCCTAGCTTCCCGTAGAGAAAAATTCCAAAAATGAAAATACAACCCTACATTTATTTTAACATGTATGACACCTATCACTAACATTCTAATTAATTATCGGCATTATATGAATACTTTTGTCTTTCTTCTGAAAACAAAAAAGAAAAAAAAGAAAAGAAAAAAAAGCAACCTTAAATTCACTTGGGACCAGCCAAATTTCAATGCTTACAAAAAGTATACGAGCACAACTCAGACCATCAAACATTTAGAAACCCCCAACTGAAAGTGGATTAACGAACTCCGTTGCTCCGGTTTGAAGCGGAAGAAAAATGGCCATCTCTATGCGGTCCTAGCGTCGTCGGTCGCGGGTCAGGGCTACTGTTCCCGCCACTTAATAAAAGTTTTGCCCCTCGCGTTACGTCACTCTCGCCCGCTTCCACATCTTTCATGGCGCCCCGCGAACTCTAGTGTGTTGCTGTGAGCGCAGCACGAGGGGAGGGGGAGGAACGAGAGCTTGACTTCTGGGCTCGGCGCGCCGCCCCCACTCCGCGGACGAACAGGGGAGAGAGAGGGGGGGGACTGGTCCGCCCTCCCTCCTCGTGAGCCGAAATCCCCGCGCGGCGACGAAAAATCGATGGAAATTAAAACTAAGGGAGGAAACCGACAACATGCGAAATGTAATGATATAACAAGCGCTGTATGATGCTTGTCCAAGGCCTTGTGCTTATCTACGTGTCGATAAGTACGTTCGGGAAATTAGTTCTGGATGAGCTTTTACTTCGAAACACTAATCAGCAAACGTTCAGTATGATGAACACATGTGAAAAACTATTCAATTCAGATACTTCCTCGTGAATTATCTTCATCCTAATTTACAAATCCTAGTATTTATTGCTGCTATTAATGCGTACAAAGTGCAGGTGATTGTATCGAAACAGTTTTCAGCCTATCTTCCCAGAGACTCACGTGTATTTAATACATTTTTCCTATTTTCGTGTTTCAGATGCAAACATTCTGGTTTAAATTCATCGGAAATTTTATCTTAGTAATGCATTTTATTTCAGTAATGACTTGGGTCTCTAATGAACTTTATCCGGCTAGCAATAATGTTTTCTTTTATCTAAAATATAACTATTTTTGTGTATAATCTAACATTATATATTATTTATTATTATAATGATTATTATAATCATCACCATTATTATTATTATTATTATTATTATTATTATTATTATTATTATTATTATTATTATTATTACGTAACACAATTGTGTTTTCAAAACAATCGTGACGCAATGCGCGACGCAGCCGCAGCCGCCTATCTCCAAAAGAATGTCAGAAAAATGTGGCAGGCTTCACGAGCCTACGAAAACCCCACGGGTGCTGCTGAGCCCGACGGCTCTTCGCTATGGGGGGCGGCGGGAAGGGCGTAGGTAGACGGCCGGAGCCGACGGCGGCAGGGAGGGCGGGGCGAAAAACCGGCCACCGGAAAGAGGGGGAGGGGGCGTCCCATCCTTGAATATACGGGCTCCGACGGCGCAGGAGTGTTGGTCGCGCTCCGGAGAATATTCTAATCCCCCTTCGCAGATTTTACTCCTTCCACTTTATTACAATTTCATTTTTTTTAAATTTTGTTATTTATATTTTTCATTTTGATTGCGTCATTTGTTTTTTCATTGCTTTTTTTTTATATTTATATTTCATCGTGAATGTTTTTCATTTTTATTTTCTTCAGGTTATTTCAATTTCGTACTGCTGGTTTCTTTCCTCACAATATTATTATTATTACAGATAATTTTCTTACAGTGCACACAATAATATACTTCCGTAATCAAGATTTATTTCCGTTAATTCCATGGATTGTTTCCGACATTTTGATTAAAAGATTATGTATTATTATTTATTATAATAATTACATTATCAAATCATACACTATAGATGAACAGAAAAAACGAAAGCGTATGGCTTTTACGATACATAAAACAATTTTTTTTTTAATTTCAAAACAGACAACACGGATTGTTGACTCATTTTCAATAATCAAAATTTCACAATGTTTATTACAAATAATACGAGTTGTTTACACTCACTGTAGTCAGGAATTTAACCTTCACGAATTTGAAATATTCATTAATCAAGCACAATAATTATCACGAGAGAGATAAAAAAAACAAACCAAAAGAGTTACTTAATAAATAAAACTTCATAACTAACAAAAAATCTTTTTAATCAACGTAGATAATTTCCTGCGATCGATCGCAGGTTTCCAGAAGAAAAAACTTCTATACCATACTACAAATAATATTCCGCATCAAAAAATAGTTTAACATTTTATAATACATTATTTTTATTATTAATTATTTTTATTTCAAAGGTCTATGACACAAAATGTACAAACGAATCGACTCGAATCATATTCTATTATAAAGGCATTTGCATACACATTCACGTTTTTTATTCGAAAATATTCAAATTGGCCCCGCCCACAAATGTTTGTTCACCCCTGCGCGGGAAACATCCCGCCAGTGCATGCCGCCACGGCAACTGCACCAACCTGTTACCTTAGGCAGATTTCCGTCCCTTCACTCTCCTTGCAGGCAGGACAGGCAACCAGCCTTCAACCTGCCAAGCAACGCGAATATTTCACTCCTCTTTCGGTTGTTAGAGTAAGCGCCGCAGTTATTTTATCTCCCAGTTCTCTCCCAAATAGCGGCTTCAAAGCTTTATTAAAAATCAATACTCGCCGGAAGGCGCTCACGTACCCCAAGTCTTGCCAAGGGTTACTACATAAAGAGAGCTGCGTTCAATTCTAACTTGATGGAAAATAAAAGGGAGATATAAAATGCAGGAAGCAGATTTTTGTTTGCTCTGTTCCTCAGAAATTATCGCACTTAATGGCGCGCGATAACAACTTACGATAAGGTTGATATTCCGTAAGCAATCATTCCCGATGCTGAGCCAAAGCAAAAAAACGCGTTTCAGTTGCACTCAAACGTCTAGTTTTATAAGCATCGAATAAAAAACTGATAATTTCAATTAGCGTGTGCGCTAACTTTTGCTATTAACGTACATTATTCCCTTTTTCAATTCATAAAATCCCATTATATTGCAGTGCAAAAGCATACAGATGATACCGTTTACCATATTCTATTATGCTCATCTCGCCACATTGTCGCATCCCGACTGAACTGGGCACTTCGGGTTCGGAAACTTGTTCCCACATACAATCCACAACAAACATCGGAAAACAGGCAACGCCGCAGCCGGGGCTTTCGAGCACTTCTGGAGGCCTGTCGCCCCCACCCGTCCACAGAGAACCTTTTCTAAAACCACGCTTGCTTCCCTGCCCCTCCGGCACGCCTACGACCACCCTTTTCTCAACGTCACGATCGAGCAGGAGGAACAAAAGCACAGCAAATGATTGGATTTTTTTTAGTCAAGTGCTCAGGCAACGAACCGTGACTGGAATTGCATGCCAAAAACTGATGCTATTTCTGTTCAACAGTGTACCCATCGTGGCCGCTTTTTAAGACAAAACTATACGCATTAAAATGCTAACATTAAAACTGAATAACTATTCCAACAAAATAAATGTAATAATTTTATTGTAAATTTTAACATTTAA